ATTTTGATTAGTATGTTTGACTCTTTATTTTTCATTTGAAGAACTTTTTTTTTACGCGGAGTAAATACGAGGCGTAGAAACAACACCAGGCCAATGTATTCCTTCAATTTCGAACCATTCCAATAAACCCTAGTTCTATCTGCCTTCTATAAGGAATTCGTGTCAACTTTGTTCCACCCTGAACATACAAAAGTACACGAACGACGCTGACTCAGCAATATGTACAATTGGACTATATACACATTTATATAGTTTATTTATTTGAGTAAATATATTTTAAGTAGATGAAACTTGAAAATAGTTCATAAATAACTATTAATTAATGTTTGTTGGATTGATATTTTATATTCTGGTATTTCTTGGAATGTCCATTTATGGTAAATGGTGTACTTAGGTTTTAGACTCCATCGCAGCTATGGTTATATTTATATTGTCACGACAATATAAATATTGTAGAGAAACGAGCAATCCAATATCAATATATAGATGTTTGAAAACTGAGCAATCCATATTCCTTTTATTAAAGAATGCTCATTCTGGATCTATATCATCAATATAGGAAATAATCTTAATATTGATTCAAAATGATATTTGACTATTGTAATGTAATAAACAATACTTGAAATGTTTCAAAAGATTTTAAAGAAAAAAATGATAAAGTAGATTAATCAATATATAATTTTAAATATTAAAAGTCCAGCTTTCGAAAGCGAATCTTCTTTTATTCAGAGTCCGTAAACTCGACTTCAATATAAACATTTTTGTTTTCAATTTATTTTAACGTAGTTTCTTCAAATTTGTTTGCGTTTATGCAAATATTTTAATATATTTCAAAGTTCTATACTAATATGCATAAGGACCAATGAAATTAAATGTGTATTCTACAATTTGAACGTTAGTCTTTAATATTTTTTAATATGTTCAAAATATGTTTTTATAGAGTAATGGAAAAATCCTCTCTTAAATTAAATGTTCACAATTCCTATTTTAAACTTCCTTATCTAAGTTGCTAAGAACTAAATTTTATGCCATGAGTGTTTATAATTTTCATAAAGCTGATAAACTGTAAATTTGTTAAACATATTTTCTTTCGATTCTTCGCTCATTCTATCTTTATTACAATTTCTTTTTATTCTTCCAAAATTGGCGATTCCTATATAACGTATGGCCTAAGTAAGCTTTATGTTTGTATATATTTAAAAATAAATTGAATATATATTTTATATTACTGAAAGTGAAGACATTAACCTGTATGTATATAAATATACTATTTATATATTCTATATATAATTTTGCATATACCTATCCATATATGTATGTTTTTATTCAAACAATTATTTTTTCTCGGCTATAATTTTTATCATTACTAAAGTAAGCCAAATTAAATTTCAATAGAGGTGAAACAATGGGTCCAAACCTTTCTTGTCTACGAACAATATACAATTGATTGTTATATGCACAGCGTCAAATATTCTTTTTGAATATATATCACAATCTGGGAAAAATAGTATATCACTTATCATTCCATATTATATTATCAAAATGTATGTAAATTTACACAACTAATATCTCATCTATATACTGCATTGTTTTAGAAATCCTATTCCAACACCAGCTGTACAATAATACAATTTCCTCTCTGATATTTCAAATATTTTGAAGAAATTATATATTCATCACATTGGTCCTCTATAAATAATTCCGTTGTGTAAATTTGAACCTTTCTACCATCCGAGAGAATTTTATCGTAATATTTACTGAAGTTTCCTGCTTCTTAAAATTTTAGGAACTTTCTTTTAAAAGCTTTTTTAGAGTTACATTCATATTTTTGAGATTTATAAACAAGGAATTTCTTTTAAAAAAACGTCAAAGAATAGAGTTCAATATTTAAAAGACTTGCAAGGTAAATACGATAAAACTTCAATAAAAGATCTGAATAAAAAAAAATTTCATATAACCAAAACAACCTTGTATGTTTAAATTTTATATGAAAGTTGATTTTAGAATTCAAGTATTTATATAGGTAGTAATGCATTAACTTTAATAGTGAATGAGAGTAAATTTTGACTTTTTACTTATTCCAAGTACCGGTGATACATAACAATAAAATCTACCCCCTATTGCCCAAAATGTAGTTTGGCAACTGCAGCTCCAGAACAATTTAATTTGCATTATATTCACTAAACAGGCCCTCTGGTAGAGGCTGCTGCGTACCATAAAATAGCTCGAGGAGCATGTACTCATGGAATTCGTGTAATATTCACACAAGGGGATAAGAAACATTAACAACACATGTTACAGGCCATTATAATCATGATGGGTAGTTAGTTACTGCTTTTACTATAAGTGCGCCACATGTCTGTGCATGTCGATATCAGAATTTTGCATTTACAAGCGAGCCAGATATCCTGTTTGGCTACTTACATTCACGAGTGGGGTTAGACCTCTTCAGAAATTTGATTATTTTCATTAAATTATCGTTTTTTAATGAGTTTGTGAGGTTTCAGAGGACTTATATCTAGCTATTGACTCTGTGGTATGTTTGAGATTTCGCAAATAATATCCTCTTTGAAAGAATTTATTAAAATGTTCATTCACATATAATTTCATAACTTTTTGAAATCAAAGGGATAATCGGATGTTATATCATTAAAAGTCGCTCTCCATAAACAAGAACCGGAAAAAAATTCAGTAGGATTCATTATTTTAAAATGTTCCCAATGGGAGACATGTTTACTAAATCCCAGTAAACAAGTGAATGCAAGTGATAATACGAAACACTGAAACTTTGGAAGTGGTCGTACAAATTCTATAAGTTTAGCAGGCAATTCCCCAAATTATAACCCCTTTTTCATGGCATTCGGAAATGGAGGCAGTCATGGATAAGTTTAAATCCTTTAATATCAAAACTCTAGATTTCAGGCTCTGACGTCCTTCTACATGTAAAATATAATGTAAATGTAAAATGAAATGTAAATGTAAATGTAAATGAAATGTAAAAATAAATGAAATAAAAATAAATAAATAATAATAAATAATAAATAAATAATAAATAAATAAATAAATAATGAAATAAATAAATAAAAATAAATAAATAAAAAGAAAAAATAAAGAAAAAGAAAATAAAAGAAAATATAAAAGAGGTAAACGATGATCAACATACTGGGTGTCCAAGAACATCACGTTGCGAGGAAAACAAATTAAAGGTAAAGGAATTTATCAAAACTAACAGAATAATTTTTGGTAAAGACTATTCTTTTAAACAGACTTGGGTTATATTTGTGGGACTGGGTCATTAATATAGTGAAAAAAGGTTTGGACATGATCCGGACATCTTTGAAATTTGTTCCCCGAATTCTAACGGAGGAACAAAAGGAGGTTAGAATGGAACTCCGCCAAAACATGATCGAAATTACTCGGATTGGTCCAGAGTGGAGTCTAAAAGTCATTACCAGGGATGAGACATGGGTGTATCAGTATGACCCGGAAATCAAACGTCAATCCAGCCAATGAATTAAAAGAGGGTAACCGAAAACAAAAATGCAAAGTTTGCATAATCCAAAGTCAAGACATTGCTTGTAAAACTTTTCAATATTAACGGTTCGGTTCACCATGGATTTATTCCTTTTGGACGTACAATTAATCAAGAGGTTTATTGGGATAAGTGAAGCGTTTAAGGGAGGGAGTGCGCTTTAAAAGACCTGAAAGATAGCAAAACAATGACTGGATACTTCAGTTAGATAATTCGCGACCGCACACATCTCATATTGTCTTGCAGTTCTTAGCCAAACTTTCAACCACCAAACTCTTTCATCCACCCTATTTCCCTGACTTAGCCCCCAATATTAATTTTCCTCTATTCTAGATTGAAAATGAAACTGAAAGGAAAAATATGACAAAGTTGATATGATACAAGCTTAATCGAAAGCAACCTTAAGTAGCCTTTCGTAAGAATATTCTATCTCCTGCTATGACAATTGAAAAAGATGGCACAGGTAAATTGAGGCAGGAGGGGCATATTTTGAAAAATCATAAAATAGTTTTTTTTATTTTTAAAATACGGAATAGTTTTTGATATCAATGAACGCCCTTCGTATTTGTAACGGAAGTGTCAATTCTCCCTTAATATTGTCGCGGAGATAAATAAAGCAAGGGCAAGTTTGGGGATAATTAATTTATTATAAGGGGTATTTATAGGGAGAGAGATAAAGTACAACTTACCCTAAGTTAAAGATAATCCTAATGAGGGACGTCAGCTCCCCCCGCCGACCAGATTCCGAGAACCCCCCACACCCGTGGCCCCCCACCCCCGGAGTCCAGGAATCATTGACAGGCGTCCCATGGGGCCTCTCGTGTTTGGAGCCGCTGAGCCGCTTGACAATATACATGTAAGTATTATCAGGGATTCAGAATCAGAATTCATTCACCGTTGGTTAGAAGAAACGTTTATTTATTTTTTTTTTAATAAATGTAAATTATCTTATTCTTTTCAGCCATGCAAAACTAAAGCAAGCTAGAAAATATATATTATCACTCCTATTCAAAACATCTTTACTGTTTTTTATTTAAATTTCATAGACTAATTTAGTTTTTTTATTTAATTAAAGAAAAATTAAAATATTACCCACATAATTAGAATATAATAATTACAACATTTTTTAGCTGCTACATACATGTATATAGTCAAATTTGTTTGATATAGTGAACATTTCTTTCTCTACCTATTCAGGCGATTTATGGCATTGTCACACATCAACTTTTCAAATTTATTTAGTGACAATATTAAGACATAGAAGAGAAGAGTTCAAGATATAAATTTAAATGTTCGACACTTGAAAATAAGTTTTTTTGAATAGTTGAACCAAGATGCACCTCCTCCTTCTTTTTATTCTTTTCCAAAATCTATAAATCTACTTATATAATTGCCTTATTCTGTCTGTGTGAAGTTCACTGTGTGAAGTTCACGGATAGATTTTGGTCAGAATGGATAAAATAAAAAAAGTGTCAAGGGATGGGAATCGAACCCACGACCTTCCGCTTACCGGGCAGATGCTATGACCACTAGGCCACATGACCACAATTTATAATTGTAACAAATAGTATTTGAATCAAAACATTCAATCGGGTAAATCACGGGCGTTGCGCGGGTCATTCGGCTAGTATTTTAATAAAATACCAAAATGACAATACTACGGCACAAAAAAACTATAGCATTTTCTATGTAAAATATAAATCTAACATATTTTTATATTTTAAAGATTCTATTATATTATAGAAATAATTCAAAATAGAAAAAAGACGAAAACTTAATTTTATTTGGGGTAAAATAATGAAATTAAATTAAAGATATTTCAGTTCTACTCCTACCCAAACTAAATCTTTCCATCAAATAATATAACAATGATAACGGACAAATTACCTCAACTCTGGGAAGGAACGAGTTCTTTCAAGCCGCTCGCTCGTTAACTCAAAATTAAATTAAGAAAGAAATGGGATCCGATGAAAGATTACAACAGCGGAATTAAGACTAAAATGGAAGATAAAGTGGTAATTTTATTTTAATCCACATTACACACAACTCAAATCAATGAGTTTATAATTGAATGAAGTTGGTATAATGTGTTAAAATATTTAAATACTAAATCCAGTTTTTATCCTTTTATAAGATCCATACTATGAAGTATTGATAATTTTATAATAGTATATATAAAGTATTATATATATGACCATCAATTGTGATGAGCTTTTACTTTTTTATTCTTTTCATTTGTGCACTCCTTAGGTATATCCATGCATACAACTAGGCTTTTGTGTGTGTATTGTATATAGGAATTTGACGATTATTTTATAATTTTGCGCGTGAATAAAGTTGATATAATTTTGATAATATAATATAATATGATACTAGATTCCGGTTTATTTATTTATTTATTTATTTATTTCCTCTCAAATTTACAGTGTACCATTCGAGCATAAAGCTCACGAGTCACTTTGTCGTGGATGTTAGGCATCAAGAATTTCTAAAAGAATGGCCTTCAGAACTGACTGGAAGGTCACAGTTCAGGTAGAGTGAAGTCCAGGTCTTTTATGTCTTGGATTGAGGTCTCCATCAAATTGGAACAATTCTTGTATAACTGGATTTTGGGAATTAGAGAGTTTTAGATATAATTTCTGGGTCGAGGATATGTATATTTATTCTATTTTAGGCTGGTTTAAGTCCTGCTTTAAAATTGCATTTGATAGATTAAATGGGGCATTTACAGTACTTCTTAAACAAATTCTCATGATTGCATCTATTCTTTTCCTATCAGTCAAGGTTATGTTATTAAACCATACAGGCAATGCGTATGTTATATAGGGAGAATACAGCTTCTGTATAAAGTAAATTTTTGGTTAACAGATAAACCACTTTTTGAACTGAACATATTGGATAATGAGGCTTTGGCTATTTTAGATTTTCTTATTATATCCTTCACGTGGCTGGTGAATTTCAGTTTAGAATCGAAAGTGACTCCCAAATATTTGACCTGCTGGGTCCAATTTATGGGAGATGAGTAAATTATAAGATTTGTCCTGGGTGTGAACTTGAAGCTATTTCGTGGAGGAAAGATAATTGCTTGAGATTTCTTTGGATTCAGATTGAGTTTCCATTTATCACACCAATTGCAAATGATTTCAAGATAGTTTTGAAGGTTTATTTATATTTATAAATTCCTCACTATAGGGCCTTGATTATTTAACCTATATCGTATTTTATATATGAAATTCTAATTTTAATGCTTGAAATTCAGTACAAATTGATATGTCTTAAGTATGTTTGAAAGAGCCAACCGATTTATATTCACTTGAAAATTATTTTCAAAGTTTTTATATATGAAATATTATGAAAATCGAAACTATTATAGACCCGTATGATTGTTTGAAAACTTAAACATTTTCTACTGTCCTTACTGCAATAGAAAAAGTCAGGCCCTACCATTAATTTTTCCATTGCAGTAAAGGTAGTAGAAATTGTTTAATTTTTAAAAGAATCATACGCGTCTATAATAGTTTCGAATTTTCATATATGAAATATAATTATTTAGAAATAAAGATACCTGTAGAAGGATTATAAAGATCCGAAAGTTTTTACTTTTCACGAATGAAGAAACGCATTACTACTGTTTATATTATTATTTTATACTTTATAGAAATTTTCTCCTCTAAAGATTGATTCTCTCTGAGAGATTGTTAAACAAAAGGAGAGATTTCCCCTATCTAACAAATCTTATTTATAAGAAACTAGACGAATGACCCGGACAAAGGCCGGGTTTACCCGATTAAATGTTTTATTCAAACACTATTCGTTACAATTATAAATTGGCGCCGTGGATGTCACTCTTGTGAAACGTCCCGCTCCAAACTTTACATGTACATTAGGTCAGCTGATATTGCCTCCCATCTTCACCGCTAGAGGCGCTGCTCGCGAGCTAAGTAGAATAATTTGAATATATAGTTTTAATAATTGATTTATATATTTTTTAAAATAGCCTATCGTCTTCCCCGTATATTTTTACCTATGTATGGTAATTTTGGTTTGAATTAGTGAACTACTGCGAATTTGTATACCGGACATACAAACAAACATACAAACATTCATTTATATATATATAGATTTAAACTATTTTTGACGCATATAATTCTTTTTGTAAAATAATCATACCCGTTAAAAATAGTTTGAATTTCTTATAACAGATGGCACTCTAACGCATCATATTAATGCTTATTTATATTATTATACTATATCAGCCATCTCAGTCTATATATTCTTAAGTACCATAACGAAGATTTCTTGCACAATGTATAGATAAGTATAAGCAGAATTAACCAAAACACTATTTATAATAATAATTTTCTTCGCGATCGAATGTTATGGCCTATTGTATGCATTACATCCCAAACACGATATGACGCCAGCTATCTTTGTCTTAACCCTTTAGGTGCCGGCCGTTTTCAAGGTCATTCCTGATCATTGTTAGCCTTCAAAAGACATCAAACTATTTTTTTTTTTAATTAGCGCTTTTATGATTCATATAAACCTATGAAACACAATGCAACAGAATATGCGCTTTGAAATACAATTAATTAATTTTCATTAGATTTTTTAAGGAGAAAAGAAGTATCAAGTCACATCAAACCGATACATCGGCTTGCCTGGTGCTTAAAGGGTTAAGCTCGATGTACCATCTCGGCGACAGTTAAACAACACTATTAGACAATGATAATTAACATAATTTTATTTCCATCTTGTCAATACATGCAAAAGTGCACAGTCTGCTTCATAAAACTTTAGAGATTCCAAAAGCGCGGCATGGTTGATTATACTAATGAAACTGGTGTAAGTGGAATCTCCCAATATGTTCATCGTAAAGACAGTAAAGTGTTTAGTTAATTTGTAGAAAAGATAATTCTTTCTCAATAGTTAATTACTTTATATAATTAACGTGTTATTGTCATATGTGTGTTTGGTTATATTATTATTATTAAAATATACAAGTATCAGAGTCATCAATCAATTCTTAATTCTGTCACCGTTTGCTTTTGTGTGAATGGAATAAATACCCAAATATGGCCGTTTCTTGTAAGCATCGGTAGTTCAGTGATAAAATGCTCGCCTGCCACGCGGGCGGCACGGGTTCAATTCCCGGCCGATGCATTTTTTTTTTCACAATTTTTAAAACTCATTTATATATTATACAAGAATGGCATCCACGGCGCCAATTTATAATTGTAACGAATAGCATTTGAATAAAAGCATTTAATCGGGTAAAACCCGGGCGTTGCCCGGCTAGTTATTAATCTAATTGGTAGTAGTCTTAATGATATGCGATTTTATAACATTTTCATCTTCAATATATTTTTTTCAATTTCAAAATAAGCATCGCTATATCTCAGGAATTTTCATCATAGTAGTTCCAATATTGTGTGAACGTGGAAGCTGAACAAATACATACGTCTTAATTTTATTTATAAAAATTATATTTATATGTAGATATTTTTTGTTCTGGTAAAAATACCTTTCAATTTTATATAAAAGAAAGTTAAAGAAAATATTTTAAATATGCTATTTAAATTATTAATAAATTTTAAGTTTTTAAACATAACACACAGCGAGGAAGAGATATTGTAATTGAGATTTATGTAATTGATTTACGTGAACTTGTATCTCTAAATTCGTTTTTCAAGATAACAATATTGATATTTATATTTGAGGTAAGTCAACTTACTTCAGTGCAGAGTATTTTAACCAGCGCCATATAAAGTCGTTTTCTTTTTCACTACATGATGGTGATTGATCATCGTGAGGATATCATTGTAAGTCGACAATGAGAGGAGAATCTGTATAAGACTGGTGTCTCATGAACAATAATTAAAACATTTTTATTTCAAAAGTAGATTTTTAAAGTATCATATCAAAGAGATCAATACCATTAAAACTATTTATTTAATAATGGGCAAATCTCCTGAGTAACCACATACACACTGTCTAAGACTGCTTAAAATAGATCCCGGCAAAATTGCTTCAAATAAATTACCTCGAAGACTGTTTAAAAGAAAACCAGGCGAAGACTGCTTCGAATAAATCCTGGCCAATGTCGCTTCAGAGAAAGCCTGGCTAGACTACTTCACAGAACTTCTGGCCACGACACTGCTTCAAAAACATCCTGGCGAAGACGGATTCAAAGAAATACTGGAAAAGACTGCATTAAAGAAATACTGGAAAAGACTGCTTCAAAGAAATCCTGGAAAAGTCTACTTCAAAAGACGTCTAGCGCAGTAAACAATAACCGTTGAACATGTCGAACCGTCGTTCGGGACTTCAGTTACTGTAGTATGTTCACGATCTAAGAGAGTGATATGAGACTTGATTTATTGAATGAAATTCTTATTTATTTCTTCAGAGAGAAAAGTGTTTTTCCGTCAAACACCCTGGCGTGAATTATCATAAATTTAATCGGATGATATTTTCCCTTGAATGTTGGATCAAGCTTTCTTAGAAATATGGCTATCTTAAAAAGTCGGTTTTTTCCTCCATC